GTGAGCTACGGTGCTGCTGTACTGTGCTTATTCCTCAACTGGGATTTAAAAGAACTTGAGTCTGAGTTGCTTTTTATTACCCCGTTATACCTTGGCATTAGTTTTTTTATGGTAGTGAAATTACAAACAGTGCCTTTAAATCTTTTTAATACATGTGCCAATTTATTGGGGAAATCGATCTTTAGTTATTCCTGGCTTTAATTAAGTAGGAAAAAACCACTAAATATATGAGAGAATTCCCACAAACTTCTGATGTATTTTTAGCTTACTAGTCAGTTGACTAAAACGATTGCTGTTAGTTTGTTGCCTTAGAAGGACAGGAGTTTAAAAACAAGTTAGCCTTAGTGCTTAAAGTTAGTGAAAAGGCTATACATTTGGAAAGTTGAGTGATGATTTGTTTTTACACTTAATCACAGATTTTTTAGTTAAGACTGCTAGGACATCAGTAAGTAATCCCATCTTGTTAAGGCTAAGTTAGCTATGTGCATCATTTTTTTCTTCCCCAGGTAGGAATACTTTTATTTCTTTTTTCATGACAGGTTTCAACCCAAATTACATGTACCATGATAAAAGGGTTTGCATTTATTTTTCAACAAAGGTCTGGGAAAGAAAAGGCAATATTCAGTTGGAAGTCTTGGTATAACAGGGAAGGCAAAGGCAAAAAGGTCCAGTTCTCATATGATGCTACTATTATACTATTAGAGGTTGTTTATAAGAGGACAAGGCAATTTAGTGCCCTAACTTGATACTGAGTTACTGCTTTTCAGACTTCAAACAGTTCCACTCCATTATTATAAGAGGTAACTAGTTCAGTCTTCAAACTGGTGAGCACTACCACAAAGTAGTTGAGCCAAAAGTTCATTATTAAAGTATACATAGAAAACTAGAATGACGGGGCTTCCTTGGCAACCAAATAGAATGGCTTTTTAAGATAGCTACCGAAGGGACACCTCATACTCAGCTGTGTATAGTAAGTGTCATGGTCAAGTACAGGATAAAAGGTTCCAGTGTACTAGATTTCTTTTGAAAAGAAAAAAATGTGCTGATTTAAATTTCATCTCCTTTTCCTTAGTCTATCCATGTGAATGTGCTGTGTGGAAGAGTAAAAGGGCCCAACTAAATGTGTTCCAGTGATTCCAATAGGTATTCTAAATTAATTGCTGCTTGTACACTTAATAGTTGTTTTATTAGGCTTCCAGAATCATGTTTATTAGAATTCCCTGTACAGTTAAAAAAGGGGGAAACGGAGAACTGAGTCTAGGGTGTTTGTGTTCTGGATTTCCCCAAAGTATTTTCTCTATTTAAAAGACCATCTGTTTTTCATATTGTTGTAAAGATGATAGAGCTTTTTTACTCAGCAATTTGGAAAATAGATTTCAGGTCCTTTTGGGTACGGATGGGAAGCCTGGGCTTTCTACTCCCACTAACAGTTGCAGTCTTGGGAACCCACTGGGGGGGTTCACTGTGAGGCAGCACTGACTCAAAGGCAATGAGTAGTTTTTAGGGGTAGAGAAGTAGTTGATACTTTAAGTCAACTGGCAAGTAAACCTAAAAATTACAGAAGTAAAATTAAAACCTAAAGGATACTGCCTTCCAAGGAGAACTGTTGACTATTTTCCCTGACTGAATAATAATTGTGCCAGCCCAGAGTAATTTCCTGTTGCCCTGAGATTACAGAAGTTAAATCCCCCCCCCCCCCCCACTACTGCTCCAGAATAGTGTAGGTTTTGGTAAATTAAGGGGGAATTTGTGTAGTAATTCCAAGTGCGGTTACCATTTGGTGTTTATTTTTAAATGATATTGAAGCCTAAAATGGTTTAGAATGCAAATAAAATGACCACTCAAAAAACAAACGAGGTTTCAGACTAAATCATTCCCATTACTGTTCATGGAAAAAAGGATACTATAGAAAATGCAGTATACGTATAGAGGGAAAAATTCAATGGAAACTAATTTTAAGAAACAAGTGATTATTTACTAGAATATAAGTTTGCTTTCTTTAGGAGTTCTATTTGGGGGGGAGGATGGAAAAACAATACATTTACCTAAACTTTTACAGGAACAATAGAAATCCTTTAAAATTAGTACTGGCCGATTAAATATAGTGTTGGTAGCCATCTCAAGATAGCAATAATTGAGGGGGGAAATACCCTTATTTTTAAAAAGAATGGAGAGGTTGAAAAGCATTAAAAATCTGAAGCACAACATATCTAGCACATCACAAAGTTTATAATGCTTTGAAAAATAATTTTGTAATGAAATTTTGTCCTCAGCAGCTGTACTTCCCTTTTAAAACATTTCAAAATGGAATCTGATATACAAAACAAGTTGTATTTGGGTGGTAGGACCATACTGGTATATTTACCTGTTTTGATCACCACTGAACTATATTTAGAGATGCTTCCAAGAGCTCTTAAATACTCATGAGGACTATTTAAAAATTAGTAAATAATAGTGATCGTTTTCTTTCCTTGCTAAGGTCTTCTGCTTACCCCCCAAAATAGTGTTCTTAACGTGACTTTAAAAGGGGTGCCTTGACCACCTCCATTCCAGATTTTTATCTAGGAATAGAAGGATTCAAACCTTATTTGATCCCTAGCTCTTTGCTGAAAAGTGCATAAACAGGAATCCTGAATTTATTATATAGACCTCCTCGCATAATGTAATGAAGCAAAGGGAAACCAGCGATGGAGCGGAGGTACGTAGACTAAAGAGATGCTTGCAAATCAAATGGTACCATGGATAGTCACAATTTGTTGCCAAATCAGTCAATAATTGCAAGTCCAGAGAAAAGCTTATAGTTAATTTTAAATTCCCTAAGATCCCTTTTTTATTGAGATTTAAAAACAGGGAGTCAGGAAAACCAAGAAAGGGAGGGGGGAAGGGGTACCCTGGGGGTGCATAAGAGCTCTAGAAAGAACTTAAAAGTAGATAATAGATAAATTAGAGTTTTCAAAACTACTAATGTCCACAATTCTATTTCAATCAGCTATTTAGCTGGTACCTACTGCTATGTCACCTAGTGTGAGATTTCCGAATAATGGAACAGTGAAGAAAGTGCAGTTGGAGATTCCCAAGTTGGAATACAAGGTAGGTTATTTGGATTACTGGAGTGGGAATGAAAAGGTTAAAATGTGGACTCAAGGTCTGCCTGAGGGAGGGCATGTGAATTACCCAATAAAAAATAGTATCAGAGGACACAGCGTTTGAGAACCTAAACAAGAGTGATTACAATTCTGAGAGCTCTGAATTTGAGTAAAAGTCCAGAGGTGTGCTTGAGAAAGGCCTGGTAAAAATCCACAAAGGTTTGGACTTAAATTTGGTGGCAGAGGGGAAAAAGTGGGGACTGAAGATACTAGAGGTGGCAACATTAAGACCAATTTGGAGGTCTTAAAGATGTGTCCAGTATTAAGAGCTTGTGGCAAATATAATTGACAAAACAAATTTTGCAAAGTTCAAATAGTTCTAAAATTTTGATAATGGGTCTAACAAAAGTTTAAAAATAATCCAAATAGTTAAAATGTTCTTTGTTGTTTACTCAGGTCTCCAGTTTACAGTGATTCTGCTAAGAAACTGTTGAAGACCTTGGAAGTTTTACCAGCTAAGAGGTTTCTCTCGTGCAGGGTAAGATAAAATCATTGTATATGCTAGCACTTGAAGGGACCTTAAACTCCCTGGTTTTCTGCATACATGTTAGCTGAAACAGAATAACTGGCCTGCCCATTTGACCTTGCAAGTCTGGCTAGACCAGAGGAGGTATACTGGTACAGATAGGAACTGAAAATCCAGGGAATCCAGGGTGGATGAGCCCTACAGGACCAGTGGTGTGAGTGGCGAAACAGGGAGGGTGGAGGGAGAGTGGGTAGGAAGGAGGGAACCGATTACAAGGGACTATATGTGACCTCCACCCTGGGGAACAGATAACAGAAAAGGGGGTGAAGGGAGACGTCGGACAGGGCAAGATATGACAAAATACCAATTTATAAACTATCAAGGGCTCATGGAGTGGGGGAGGGGGAAAATGAGTACCCAATGTCGGGGGTTTAAGTGGAGAGAAAATGTTTTGAGAAGTACAAATGCGCTTTACACAATTGACGTGTGTATGGATTGTGATAAGAGTTGTATGAGCCCCTAATAAAATGTTTAAAAAAAACAAAAAAAACCCCGCCCGCCCCCCCCCCCAAAAAAAAAAACCACAGCATGTGAAGTAGCTTATTAGTGTGCACAAGGCTTATACTCCTGCAGTGCTGCTGCTCTAAAACACGAGTGAATGTCATATAAACTTATTAGGGCATGATTACTTTGAATAAAGTAAGCCTCACTGAATTGTGGTGCCTTGGTTTATACCCATTGTAAGTAATTTTGCCCAATTCTTCTGATACTTAGCCTAATATCCAAGCCTTTCTTTTGGTAGTATTGTTAGAATCAGTAAAAATCTCTTAGAACAGTGATTCTCAACCTGTGGGTCACAACCCCTTTGGGGGTCGAACAACCCTTTCACAGGGGCCCCGGATTTATAACAGCAAAATTACAGTTATGAAGTAGCAATGAAAATTACAGTCAGGGGTCACCACAACATGAGGAACTATATTAAAGGGTCGTGGCATTAGGAAGGTTGATAACAACCACTGTCTTAGAACATGTGTATATAATCTAATACTTTCCCCCTATGTAACAGCCACATGTAACAGCAGGGGGTTATAAGAAAGAAAACGTCACCTTCTACCCTGAACTGGAGCCAACCTCACTTTTCTTAGTTCTAAAGACATCTCTAAGGCATCTAGCTTGTTACATTTAAAAGATCTTCAAAGGTAATATTGACATTAAAACAAAAAATGAAAAACTCCAGTCCTTTTTAAGTGTTAAAATAGTAACGGTTTTGGAAACGGGTGTAGTAATAAAATTGTTTTTTTGTTTTATTTTTAGGGCAAGATTGAAAAATTCAACTGGGAGAGATTGTATTTCTTAATATTTGTCATTGAAACTCATGGAATACTAGCAGGTTTTTATAATTTTATTGTTCTAACACAGTGACAATAAACTATATGAGCGAATAGCTCTACACAACAGAAGAATGCTTCACTGGCATTCTGATGGGCACAGGGCCAGAGTTCATTTGACAGCAGTGTGCACGCATGTGTACAACTTAATACATTCTTCAGTTGCTTGACTGAAAGCTTTCTTACTGTACATAAATTGTTCTGTGTTTTCAGCTTTGTACACCGATTTGCTTGACTGCTTGATTGTTGCTGTTAGTTTGTTTTCTTTCAGGATCAAGGTGGGTGCTTTCATATAAAATTTTATTTTTGATTCCTTCTCTTGCAATTCGTTCCTGGATTCTTTGCTTTGCATAATTGTACCTACAATGGAACCTTTAAGAAAAGTAAATTACTGATAAAAAATTCCCATTAAAATGAAACTTCCATAATCACAAACTTTACATTGCTTACACATTACTACCCTGAGACTGAAAATATAAACATTTTAATTTGGAGTATTGTATTTAGTTTGATGTCCTAATTCATAAATATACTATTAATAGAGTATTTGGAATATATCCTACAGAAAATTTTCCTCTGACCCTTTGTTTTTAGTAGTCAGTGACTCCCTCTGTCTCTCAGGCAGCTACTAAATAAAATCTATCCTCTTGGCTTAGTTTTTAACATGGAATCCTTAATGTTTTTTTGGATCTGGCACGTTTTCCTCAAGAAAATTGACTTATGCTGTAAAATCTGAACACATTTTCAAATGTAGGCTTTACATTACAAGAATGGATAACCATCTAGGATAGGGTGAAAGGTTAACTTCCTTGAATGAACATGCCATGTTCATCTCTTCTAACATTCAGCAAATTATAGGTGTGGGGGGGGGAATGTATGTAGACATGTTTTTGTTATTTAATTTTTTTCAAGCTATCAAAACTCACTGAAAGTGGTATGTCCCAGGAAGACTTGGAAAGACCTTGTGCTTTGGAATTAAAGATAAACCTCTAACAGCTATGGGATCTATCTTACTGAATGCATACTTAATGTACGTACCAGCATCCTAAAGTCACCAAAACAAATCCTCCTACTCCAGCATCACAAGATCTTCTAATTTTACCTGTGAAATGAGTATAACCCATCATAATTAATTTTCTGTATATTCTATCTGGAGAAAAAATGTTTATGCATATAAATACTCACTAGTAAATAAAAAATGTCCAAGGCCAGCAACAACAGATCCTAATGAACCATATAATACTGAATCCCGGGCACATGGAATGTTTTCAACATCTAAAATTCCTAGGAGCTTAAAGGGCTAGAATAAAATAAAAACATAATAGTTACAGTAAAATTCTATCCACTCAAGTTTACCCTCCTATTAATGTAGTCACATTTGTTTAGCAATTTTTTGTTTTAAGAACATTTCTTGTTAAGACAAATGTGGGCAGTGGTTGTAGTTAATCATACAATTTCTTGTCCATGGTAAACCACTGCCATAACAAAAACCCCTGAATTTTGTTGTAGCACTGCTACTAAATCGTAATTTGTATCTTGTAGGTCACTTTTGTTTCTGGCCTAATTTTTTTCCTAAAATGGTGGGGTTGTGCTAGACTGCCAAATACCTTTAATGTGCAAGAGAGATTTTTATGCTTATTTTGTTTCCCCTAATTCTTTTAAAATCTCCATTGGATGCTCTGACTTACTTTCCAGGAAGAAAAAATGGCAACCATCAGCTTAAAATTTAACTATGATGTTTGTCATTTTGGCTCTATGCTTTTGACTTTTGGAAGGGCGGGGCCATTTTTAAAAATTAGAAACTCTTCACTGTAGCATCCCTATAAATAAAAACCTTTTTCATATAGAAATTCTTTAATGTATTTTCTATATTTGCTTCTTTGGCTCAAGCAGCTACTGGAAAAGATGACCTGGTTCATAATAAAAACAGTGTATACTGTCTTGGATTGTTTTATTCCATTCTCTCTCGCTAGCAGGTGCTCATTGAATTTACAGATTGAATCTTAATGCAAGGTGTGGGGCACTCAAAATCTAATTCTATGCTTCTCATTTAGCAAAAGCATTGTCACTTGTTTAAAAAAAACCAAAAACCCTATGGTCAGGGATGGGTGGACTCTGCTCAGTGTTCCTGGGGTGGGGTTGGGGGTGAGGAGGGTTGTTTGTGGATGCTGGAGCCAGGAAATGGTGGTGCACTAAGCAGCTTCGACCATAGGGGTAGAACACTTAGCTGACTTATCATTCATTGGTTAAAGCAGCCTCCTTTGCAGAGGATGAACACGTTTCTATGGGCCACAACCACCCAGGATCCGGACTGGCAGGTGCATGTGTGTGGAGCAAGGTCACCCTATGATACAAATCTGCAGTCACTTGGATGCCATCAGCTATTATAAGGGGTCTTCAGTACAGGATGTGCCATTTTGGATGTTTCTGGGGTTTTTCTTGACCAAGCTTCAAAAATCAGGCTGGGAAACACCCTAAATGCACATCCCCACTTCCAAAAAATACTTTGGTCTAATGTTGACATTGACTCAGCTGGGCCCTATCCCTTAAGTCGCACCTTTGAGAAATCATCTCTAAGAGTTAAAAATTAAAAAAGGGGTGATGCAAAAGTCTAAGGTGGACGTAACAGAAGGAAATTATTCCTATGGAAAAGTAAAACTACACCCAAAGGATGAAAACAAGGTCCAGTTGAGTTGGGCACATTTCACTGTTGTGTGTCACTAATGTGCTGGCAAAACTAATGCAAACTGAAGTCTGGTCCCCAAAGCTTGTGCTATTTTCCACTATACAGGCCAAACTTACCAATCAAAAACCAGGACTTGTGCTATATTCAGAGTAGAACTGCCCTGTGGGATTTCTAGGCTGCACTCTTAAAACATCACACACAGAAGTTATTAGGGGCTCCAACCATAAGTCCTTTTGAGGTTCATATAATCATGCGTTTTTAAAATAGTCCCTTAAGTAGCCTGTAAACAAAAGTATAAAATTTTACTTTTGCCTTTAAAACCTCTTAAAAACTAAGGATATCTAGGTTGTTTTAGTGAATTTTTAAACTTAAGGAAAATTGTATGAGCTCACTTTGGAGTATAGCTTTGTGAAGCCAAACTCATTAAACCCAAGATTGCAAAGGCAGAATGCCAATTTAGTAATCTATAGAACTAGTTCAGCTCAAACTAGAACCACCTTGTTTCCCATTGTCAAATCAATGCCCGTATTCTCTTCATTGAAAAGGATGAATTAGTGCCGTTACTCTAATGGTAATCTCACTTATGCACTAAATTCTACCCTCTTTTATAATTTACAGCATACTTTCTAAACCAAGAGTGGAGAATAGTTGGCTGGAAGGCTAGAACTTCACTGAGTGGATTCAAACTTAGCAACCCTATTGAACAGCTGGGTGGTTTCAATCTGTTCACCTTGCAGATGATGGTCCAGTGTGTGACCAGTGGTTCTCAACCTTCCCAATGCCATGGCCCTTTAATACAGTATGTTGTGGTGAACTGTATTAAAACTATTTTCGTTGCTACTTCATAACTAATTTTGCTGCTGATATGAATCGGGTGACCCCAGTGAAAGGGTGGTTCATCCCCCAAAGGGGTCACGGCCCACAGGTTGAGAACCACAGGTTTACTCACTATGCCATCAGAGCTCCTAGCAGGCCATAAAAGGCCCATGAAATCAATACTGCTAAAATCCCACGCTTCACCAAAAAGCAGTGCCAGCCGTCACATTAAAGAGCAAGTTGGATGTTTGACCAGAATGGCCTGATAATCTGCCCTTTTCAGAAGAGATTCCCTGCCTCTGGGCCGGACCCCTAGCTGCCTACAGGTTATCTATCCCTTAACTCTTCAATGAGGTATGCATTTACGTAATCTACTGAAACTGCCATCAAGGTTTCCAAAAGACATCTTGCCAAACCCACCTACACCTTAGCATATTTGGTCCAGATCCCTTGTTTAATACTTATTAATTTGGCTTCCAATACAAGGCCACCTGATTTCCTTTCTATCTCACCATACCTGGCTCTTGCTATCAGCTAAGCAGCTCTAAATGTTGACATGCTACACTAGTCTGCTCTCCCTGGAATCTAGTCTTTCCTTAGGCTTCTCAATGCTTCCAAATACCACTTAGGATGACTGGGGTTTGCATATAAAACTCCCTTTCTCAAATGTCAGTCTGAAGTTCATTTGATTATTGACACCTTTATACGGTTGACTCTTGAACAAGATACAGTCCAAAATGCACATAAAACTCAACCCCCTAATTAATATTTAAAGTTGATCACATTTTGTTCGAATATAATACTTTGTAGAAAAAATGTGGAAGTCATTTATTGAACTGCACTGCTCACACTGAGGGAAAAGGGGTTGGTCTTGCTGTCTCAGTGGCAGAAACGGAAGAGGAAGAGGAGATTCATGGGGAAGCAATAGAGGCAGGCACATAATGTAATTTTAGGGAAACTAAATTGTCTTGACATTCTCATTTTTCTAAAAATATTTCTATATGGTACCAATCTTGCTACCACTTTCGTTTGTGCCTGTATCATAGAAAGGTCCATGTTGTAAAATAGATCAAAAGCAGTGTTGATAACTCTTGCCAGAATGTCAAATATTTTCTGGCAGTGGTTTGGAAGCATTCAGTAATATACAAGTGGTCTGCTGTTAATTCCTCTGGTGTAGTGTCTGGGGAAAAACAAACCTCACATCAGGTCTACTGGTGAGACTGCTCCTGTGAGTTTCCAACTGTTAACTGGAGTAGAAGTCCCATCTTTCTTCCACAGGAGTGGCTGGTGGTTTTAAACTGCTGACCTTGCAGAGCACATCCCGACAAATAATAGCTAATACATTTTCTGAGAGCCGTAAATCTTGAAACCCTACATATACCTGCACTGTACCTTTTTACCCATATCCAAAATCTCATTTCATGAAATGGCTCTCATAAATCCTGTGATGTCATGGAAATCTACAGTTCTCTTCAACAATTTCAAGGTTGGTGGCTTACATGGTGTTTCCTCTAACAATGGCATCTTCAATGGTGTAATCCTTCCAGACTTTTACGATGGTATAACAGGTTCTTATAGAGTTGGCAATCCTCTCCATACAGGACCATGTATAATGAACCTCAAGGGTCCTTATGACCACTGCCACCACCACGCTTTTAAGTTGAATTAGAGCTGTCTTTGGGGCAAGTAGTTCATTTAAATTCAAAGCTTTGATGATGGTTAACACATGGGGTTATGGGTGAGCTGGGGCATTGTCCAATATCAAAAGACCTATAAAAGGTAATCCCTTACAAGCAAGACAGTTCCTGACCCCAGGTACAAAGCACTGATGAACCCTTCATGGCTTGAGGATTAGTAGCTTTATAAAGGCAGTGCTGATCACAAATCCATCTACATTTGCACTAAATAGCCTGTCCCTCCTTGCCACAATCCTGTTTCTCTTCCTAATAAATGCCCATTGTGGTTTCTCCACCCCTTTACATTAAAAATCCATTCAGGCAGTTAAGACTTTCTCAGTGACTTTAAAAGCATGTTGCCTCTTGGTTGGCAGAAATGGCTTCGGTTATCTTGACATTTTTAAGCCAAACCTTTTCCTAAAATTACCAGACCATCCCCTATTAAGTTCTCCAGCTTTAGTTTCATCTCCCTTTTAAATTGTCATAGAATGCTTTGCTTTTTTCCTCAATCATATTACTCTTTAGGTATATATATTAATAACTCTGCCCACATAAAAGCTACATTTTCAATATGAGACAGGTAAAAGGAGATTTTGTGTGAGAAGCAATGGCTTCACTTTTTTGGTTGTTTTAACCTCCCTGGCAGTGTAATCATCACAGTAATTTTGTACCCAAAGTGGTACATTGTTTTGCATAAAATTTGTTTTATATTGTAGGCCTGTAATTCTTAAGAAATTGCTCATTTTAATCTCTAGTAGACATTCCAGGTATGATAAAATTCTGACAGTTAACATTTACCCCAAGGCACACTCGGGATTACCACCCGGGAGGTTAACAATGGTCTCTGCTGGCATTATTTTACTTGAAATGGTGGGCAACTTCAGCAGCAGACTTCGGTGTTCAGTATCTGTACATTCAACTTTTTCTTGTAATGTCATGACTTTTCTGCTCTTGGGAGTACTTCCAGCATCACTAGTGGCACTGTGTGTGGGTCCAAACCATGGAGTTAACCAAGTATGGCCATAAATATGAAAAATACGCACAGACTGTGAGATTACTTTTTACTGCAATAAGCTATTTATTGGAAAGATTAGTTGGAGATTAGCATCACAATGAATTTTAAGTGATTATTTCTAATACCAGAGCTCACAAATTAAAGCAGGAGGTAGCTACAAAACTATTATAGTAGTACAGGTAGTTACTTTTACTCTGTTGTGATTTAATCAGGCATCTCCCTATTTCTACTATGATCGTCTGTGCATTTAAGTTTTTTTTTGCATTTTTGATGTTAACTTTTACTGATATACTTTTTTTATGGTGATGAATGACAAAACAGACTAGTACTTAAGATATTTTATGCATCTCAAAGTGTTAAATTCCAAAATTTTTTCCATTAAAAAAAAATTCTGTGTAAGTGCATCCATGTACTTCAATCTCACGTTGTTCAAGGGTCAACTATTTTGAAATTAGAATTTTCACCTTCATACTTGCCTCTTCATGGCCTCAGCCAATTTTTTGGCCCAAAGCCTACAAATCATCCTTGATTTCTTCCTTTCCTTTATCAACCCATGTTTTATTATCAGTATGTTGGAAGATCCCACCCTCAAAATAGATCTTTAACCAAACCATTGCTTGTCAATTCCACTGCTGCTGTTTTCCTGCTACGACCACCAGGCTACCATCTGTCAGTCTTCAAAATTAATTTTAATTTTTAAAATATCTGATTTTTAAAAACCCCATAGCCTCTAGCTGTACTCAGAATATATGTACTCCATACTATTGCCATAAGAGCACTGTATCCACAGTACTCACTTTGTGCTTCCTTTTCTTAGCTCACCAGTAGGAACAATGGTCTTGTGTCACATTCTATCTTTCTATGAGACATTTTGCTACTAATGGGCCAATAAGTTGACAATGATCATTTTCTTTCATCTGATTGTACTTTTTGATTCCCAGTCTACTAAACCAGGTTCATGACGCTAGCAAAGATGAGCAATCAGACAGGAAAAGGATAAAAGCCCTATTAAGGATCTCAATGTTCATCACAAAGCTAAGTCTAGAATTCAGCATTTACTTTCCATGACTCTTTGAAATATGCAAGTTCCAAACATGAGCATTTTTTTACATTTAGCCTATTCTAAAGTATCAGTATACAAGACATTAAAAACTATACATTAGAAAAAACTTTATTAAACTTGATATTTAATAATTTAATGATCTGGTATCTTGGGCTCTTGGTCAAATTTAGATGAAACATCCCTAGAGCAGCAAACAAGAGCTGCCAAAAAACAAAACTCTCATGTAAACCTTCACCTAAATCACAATAGAAAAGTTCTTTAAAGTGAACACAATCTCCAACAATGAGTCTTCAATAAATGTTTGAGTCTCATTAATTCAATGTTAATGTTATCCTTAGATTACTATTTAAGTTTGTCTTCACGACCATCTTTTAAAACCTCTGTATGAAGATATAAAGAGGAAGATGTATAAATCATTACATTCCTGTACCATAAATGCTACTCTAAATGGTGGTGCTGTCGGTGAGGTGTTAGGCTGCTAACCCAAGGTTGTTGGTTTAAACCCAGTAGCTGCCCTGCAGTTGAAGATAAGACTGCTTCCACAAAGATTTCATGTCTCGGAAAATCTGAGCTGGAGTCAGAATCAACAGCAGTGGGTTGATCTGGTTGTGTATCTACTTAAGGCGAGCGGGGATGGAGAAAAGCAGCACCTTAGTGAGCTGGAAGTCCAAGAGGGCTTCCTTGAAGAGCTTGGCTTCCTAATAGTGTGGCTGGAAGATTCCTCCTCGCAGCTCTCCTGGACTTCTCTGCAATGAAGTTTTAACATTTTCTAAAAATTGCCTTCTGATATGTTCCCGTGACAGTGGCCATAACCCTTTGGGCTTACCTCTCTGCCTTCAGTTGCACTGGTCCAGCAGAAAACACGACTAAGTGTATTTCTCAAAAAACTGATCTATAGGCATCCACTTATCAGACCCATGTTTAAACACGGTTTAGAATAAGCCCATGCACGTTAAGAACTGGAGCTCCAGCAGCAATATTTTTGACTGACCCTCATGTAAGTCGCAGAAATTTGTAAGCAACAGAGCCACTATTAGATTTTAAGGGATGGTGTGTGTGTGTGTGTGTGTGTGTGTGTGTTTAAACTCCCATTACAGGTTGGAAAGAACACACTGAAAACTGGAAGGTGGAGAAAGGAGAGATCACAAAAAAATGAGGATAGCAATTAATTAGAAGCATTATCACATAACTGGTTAAGGTTAACGGGAAAATCTCAATCTTTTTATCTGACCCTCCACTTGTGGATATAATGAAGGTTCCAATCCCCAGCATTTACTGAGTCCCTTTTAAAGAGTTGTAAAGAACACCGTATTATGGAAACAGCACCTATCCTTTGGGAGCTTTTTCATGCAACTCCTTTTACCTTTACTGTGGTGGTACTGCTGGGTAAGCATTTGGACTGCTCACCACTGGGTCGGAGGTTCAAAACCACCAGTCAATCCATGGAAGAAAGTTGAAGCTGTCTGCTCCTGCCGGTGTCTCTGCGTTGGAATCCGCATTGGGTTATTAACCTTTACTATGAATTTCCTGTGCAGTGGGCATTTTCAGCAAAATCCCTCGTCAAAGGATTTGATCTTACTGTGAATAGTACTTATCTTTGAATAGTTCTTACGAGCCCCCTCAACCTGGTCAATTTGGTCTTTTGGCAATTAGATAAAAACGTGGGGAAGTAGGTGCCGATCCAAAGAATCAAATAGCACGTGCTCCCAGCTTCCTGGAGGGCATTTCCCTAAAAGTCGCTTGGCTCGACCCTGCTCTTCACCCACCAACGGCTCCCGCGCCCAGGAAGGACGTGCGGAGGCCCCGGCTCCACTCGCTCGCCGCCCCCGGACGCCCCTGGTTACCTTCCCCTTCTCGGGCTCGCCAGGCTCCGTCTCGGCAGCCATCAGGACGAGTCTGCCCCTCCGCCCGGCCGGCTACAACCAAGGCCGCCCAGAGACGAGGCCGCCGCCCGAACTGCCGAGCGCGGCTCGGGCCCTGCAGGCCGCCAGACGTGCTCCCCGCCCCGCTCCGCCCCCTGCGCCACGGCCGCCATTTTAAGGAACGCTCCTAATCGTCCGCAGAGACTGCGCCGGCGCAGCTCCCGGCGCCGTCGCTGCCATTTCCTTTGTTCAGCCAAGCACTTTCTCCTCCCTCACAGACTCTTTGCAGCTCGGCACCTAGCCAGCAGGGCGGGAGGGGGCTCCGGAAACGCCGCTCCCCGGACTCAGGGCAGAGCTGGGGCGCGCACTGAAACGGCGCCCCTGTCGGCCTCG